TGATCTGATAAAGGGAGGGGAGTGAAGAGTGAGGGAACAGGTTTTGAAAGTTCAAATTTCCTTGCAAAAAAGTAACCTATGCAATAATAGTATTATTTCTGGCATTCTGTCTCCAATACTAAGATAATTCTTTTGCAAATGGGAAATTAAAGTATGGCCTCTTTTATTCTCCACCCCCACCCATTAAAAAAACAAAACAAAACAAAACAAAACTTTTTCTATGGAAAAACTTCTAGATAGATAGCTGGAGACACTGGGCAGACTTTGATATTTTAATATTATTAAAAGCATAAGCATGCATGCCTTGTCCCAGGTGCCAGATGTGACACATTCAGAGATTAGAATTGTAATATGAACTATTTTTAGTATTCATAACGAAGGACCGAAAGTTAGAAGCTCGGAGCAGAGCTCTGCTTGCGGTGTGTGACCGCTTAGTTTGTGTGTGTGCCCGTGGCTAAATACTCTCGCTGGTCTTGACCTTCACGGCATTGTGTTTCTTACCTGGTTCTTCAGGTCGTCAATGATAGGGAGGTATCTGCTATAATCATGATCGAGACCGCGGCAAGAGCCAGGCCCAAATTTCTCATACCACCCTTTGATCTTCTGCTCCAGGTCCGCATTGGCCTCCTCTAGCGCCCGCACGTTGTCCAGGTAGGAGGCCAGGCGGTCGTTGAGGTTCTGCATGGTCACCTTCTCATTGCCCGAGAGGAGCCCGTGCTCATTCCCAGTGAAGGCCCCGCAGAAAGCACTCGCCCCGCCAAGCCCTGCCCCATAGCCTGCTGCAGACGAGTTGCCCCCAAAGGCACAAGAAAAGCCACTTCCAGTGCCCGGCACACCGCAGGCGTTTCCAGCCCCGAAGCCGGCTCCCCCACCAGACAACCGCAGGGAGCCCACGCCCCCGCAGGAGCCCAGGCGTCTGGATGCAGAAGAGAAGCACACAGACATGGTGTTCAGACAGGAGAGCCGGGGCCTGGAAGGGAGCTCTGATGGCGAATGTCCTGCCCAGACAGCCCGGTTTGTCTTTATATACCCATTCGCAGGGTGTCTCTCCACGAACCCTGCTACCCATAGCCAGCTTACCGTGGAATTATTCATAATTGCGTGATGTTTTCTTAATGAATGACTTTACCCTGCTGTGTCCACTTCTGTAGGTGGATAGTTGCCTTGGGGTTATCTGTTATCTCTGAAATGGGACAGGGAGGCGTATTATCCAGATTATTATAGTGGTGCATTTCAAATGTGTGAGTAAGGCTTCCTGTCTTCCAGGCGTCAGGAGTATAAAATTCTTGTAAGAATAAAAAAGCGTGATAGACAAACTTTGCTTTCTTTTGATTCAACCAACAACACTGCATTTTCTACCAGCAGGTGAGTATCGTAGTTATGGTTCTCTCTGGATAATATGATTTTTCTTTCAGATGTGTTGAAAGTAATTTTAAGACCATGGTCTCACAGTACCACAGGAAGGAGGCCAGGTCTTCAGTGAGAATTAAAGAATTAAATGGACTCTTCTTTGATCTCCATCCCTCCCGAGTTACCATTTCATCTCCGCTGGTTTTCTGTCTAAACTGCGTTGCTAACTCAGTTAAGTCAAGGCATCGGTTAGCCTGTCTGGGCCTCAGTTTCTTCTTCTGAACGTGAACTAGACCGTGGCCTGTGTGTTGTCTTCTGTTTCTAGATTTCTGAGATTTTTACATTCTTTTCTTGGGTTATTTCTAGAAGAATTTCTGCGTTCACTTCCTCCATTTTTCACCTCCGACTCACTCCTGGATTTTGGTCCCACCACTTTATGAAATTAATGTCTCAGAGGTTGCTAATTACCCCCCATCTCCATCCAGTCATCATTCCTCACATTTGTTCTCCTACGCCCTCTTGGACACGTTTGACACCGACCACCCTGGTTTTACTGAGTTTGGAACGATCGCCTTCTGAGAATACTCCTGTGTCTCTCTCTGCTCCTCTTCTTTCTTCCATTCCTAGTTTCTTGCCCTAGAATTTGCCATTCCGCACAGTTCTGCACCTGGCACCCCTGTTTTGTACACACGGTCCCTGGGCGATCTCATCCCTCCTTGGCCCCGGGTGAACGTTCTAAATACACATCTTTCGCACTGGCCTCTTCCCCTTTCGGGGCCCACCCTTTACTCCACCCTCCAGACATTTCCACTCGGATGCTCTGTCGTGACTTCCAACTGAACGCGCAATTACCTTGGCATCAAAATTCGATCTTATGCATCTTTCTCCATTAGCTGCTGGTGGAGTTACCTTGAGTCAGGCTTAAGATTACTAAGAAATCTCTAATTGCTGTGATTTTCGGCCAGCTTCCATCCGGGAACTCAGCAGGTCGCCTTGAGTCTACGTCTGCGGTGTCTCTAGAAGCATTTTTCTCTTCCATTTTCCTTGTCACTATCATTGTCTTTCAGCTCACTTAGTAGGACCTTAACTGGGTTTCTTTTTTCTTTCCCCATGGTTCTTAAGTGGGTAGGGGCCACGGCGTTATTCCCGAAGCACAACACCAGTCATGAAAGAAGTTGGCCCCTTGAGTCAGATGTATCAGCATTCATATATCCCCGTTCTGCCGTTTTCTAGCTGTGGGACCAATGCGAAGTTCATTCATTCTGAGCCTTGGTTGTAAATTTCTTTTCTTTTTTGTCTTCCCATTGATTTTAGAGAGGAAGGGAGGGAGAAAGAGGGGGAGAGAAACAGCAATTGGTTGCCTCCTGCACACACCCCAACCAGCGACTGAACTTGCAACTCAGGCAATGTGCCCTGACTGGGAATCAAACCTGCTACCTTTCGGTTTACAGAATGATGCTCCAACCAAATGAGCCACACCACCAGGGTGGTTTTTCATGTCTAAGATGGAGCTATTAGTACTTGTATGTTGTGAGGCTATTAAAAACAGCAGTTTAAATATGTAAAGCAACTATGCTTTTCAGTAATATGTAGTCACTAAGTATTTCTTCCCTCCCTCCGCTCTCCTCCAGTTTAAAATCCATTGATGATAGGTTAGATGAGCTCCTTTGCCTGAAATTCATGACTCTTTTTTTAAAGATTTTATTTATTTTTAGAGAGAAGGGAACAGAGGAGAAAGAGAGGAAGAGAAACATCAGTGTGGGGTTGCCTCTCACATGACCCCCACTGGGAACCTGGCCCGTAACCCAGGCATGTGCTCTGACTGGGAATCAAACCAGTGACCCTTCGGTTCGCAGGCTGGGATCCAACCCACTGAGCCACACCAGCCAGAGCTTAAGATTCTTCTTGATGTAGTTTCTATTTAACTCACTTGTCCATTCTTTTATTTTACTACTTTCTTTCCCTCCCTTTTGTCTTTGTTCATGTCTCCATTTGAGATAATTTAAAATCTTTGCCAAGAATGACTGACATCACTTTCAATTATATAGATTGAAAATGAAGTTACTAAAAATAAAAATTTCATGACCTAATAAGTGAATTTGCAGAAAAGCCAGAAAAATCTGTTGTCTAATCAAGAAATCACATTAATAAAGCATTATTATTTATTGTATTACATAAAATTACCACATAAAAATGTTATTTTTTTGCAATTTGTAAGTTAATGTTATAATATGTGTGTAGCTATTACAAGTATTGTATATTCTAAGTAATAAAATATTTTTAAGGAAAAATGTGGAAGAGAAAACAACTATATTTAAGTGCCTTTAATGGACATTTTTCTTGGTTTTTTGAACAAGGGACTCCACATTTTCCTTTTCGCTTTGAGCCCTGCAAATTATATCACTGTCTCTGTGCGTTGAACACTTGGGAAGTTATTTCCCCATGAATTTCTAGTAGTTGCTTCATTTGATGACTTTTGGCTCAGGATGTTGTAAATATCCCATCTGTTGCCACTTCTTTGAACTCCCATGAGACCCTTGGGCTGTTGGGTAGAATTCCTGCCGTCCCTGGAGCTTCTCTTTAGACTGAGGCCATATACTAGAGAAATAAGGAGAGCTGCTCCCCTTTTAGTTAGGGAATTTCCTATGTGTCGGATATCCCTGCCATACATTTCGATCCTGAAACACAAAGACACCAGAACCATAATATTCCTCAGTGCCATGAGATTTTAAGTTCTAGAGCAGGTGTTGGTGGTTTGAGTCTGGTTTGCCACCTGACTTTGCACAGCTCATGAGCTAAGAATGGTTTTACATTTTCAAGTGGTTGGGGAAAATCAAAAGAAGAACAGTATTTTGTGACATGTAAAAATTATTTTCAGTTCAAACTTGTGTCCACAAATAAAGTTGTATTGGGACCCAGTCACGCTCACTTGTTTATCTGTGGTCCATGGCTGCTTCTGCTATGACGGCTGAGTGGTTGAAACAGAGACATTATGACCTCCATAGCTTGAAATATTTACTATCTGGGCCTTGACACACACAAAAAAGTTTGCCAATCTTTGCTCTAGAAAAAAATTCATTAACACAAGGCTCATCGCTGTGTATCTTTCCAGAGCTAATCTGGATTGCAGGAGGAATGGTATCTCCTGCAATCCTGGGCAGCATCTGGATCTCCAGAAGAGTTGGAGATGGGATCATTGGTAAAAACACCAGAAATACGCCATCTAGGGGTAGACTCTTCAAGCACAGGAGAATGTCTGAAATTGTCCAGATTATTTGCCCAAACAAAAAATGGTGAGATTTGAAGATGATGCCTACTGAATGTTTAATACTTAAATGTCATGTGGCATTGAACTATCATTCAAAATTATAATACATTCCATCAATGTTTCCCTGTGAATCATACATAAAAAATAAATCGCAAAATAACTATTTATTAGTCATGAATGAATGCAAACAACTGTATGTCAACTTTTTTATTTATTTGAAAATAAACACCCTTCTTCCTGTAAAAGGTAACTAAGAAAACAGGTTTCTTTTTCCCTAAGGAACTTATCTTTAAGAGTAGAAAATGTTTTCATTATCTCCTTGATATTTGGAATGCAGTTGGGCAGGGTCCTTCCCCAAGTTATTCTTTTCCCAGAAGTGATGGCTAGAAAGAAAACCTTTGTTCTGTTTTGCCGCTGGTCATTTTAGATGCCTTTTCTTCAATGGATTGGATCCTTGAGGAAAGGACTTTACCGCGTTGATCTATCTCTTCAACCACCGTCTTCACCAGCGTAGTTTTGGATAAATCTAGAAATAGAACATAAGTGAATACACATAGTCAACACACAAGATTACATAACAAAAAGTTCAACTGCTGCTTGCCATATAGCACATTGTGTATACTTTTGGAGAGGGAATAAGCACAGATTTATAAGAATAGCTTGGAACAGTTTTATTAAAGGAATATTTTATGTTCCAAGCTAAGCACTTTAGTTAAAATTGTTTAAGTACCGTTTGTTGCCATAGTGTGTGACTGCCATTTGCTGCAATAGAAACAACTAGATTTTATTACCTTTAGATGAATTCCCTGAGCTTCCTGATCCAAAGCCTTTTGATTTGGTGCAGGAGCTGTAAAAAACAACAAACCCAGTTTATTTTTTTTAATATTTTTGTTTATCGTGTGAGAAATAGTTATTGAATGGATAGGGGGACGTGAACTTTGTATGCCAAAGACAGATGTTAGTTTTTTTTTTATAAAGGAAAATAGAAATTTGGGGGGCGGGTAGGAGCTGAAAGAAATTAAATGTCATCTAAAGAGAGGATACACCTCGTTTCCATTTGATTTTTAAACTCACAAATTTAAAACTCAGGGTGGATCTATATCTTGTCTGTTTCTCTCTCTCTCTCTCCTGGGGGTTTACGCAGAGAACATTTATTTCAGGGCAGCAGTGATATTAGGAATGAGCTGACAGGTGGATAAAACTGGAGGCAGGGGTTGGGAGAATCTGGAAACCCACAGTAACTAACATGGACGATAAATGGGGGTGTCTGCCGGGACGACCCGGGTCATGAAGGCGGACGAGGAAGAGGCTGTGGTGTACGAAACAGGGGAGAGAGGGCTGCAGAGGCAAGAGGCGAACGCGCCATGCTGCTGTGGGGATAAAGGAGAAAAGGCTCGGAGGCGTGGAAGGTGAACGGACGACGTGTGGTTGTGGTTTCAGATAGATAAAACCGGATTTTCACACGGTGCTACTTACTTCCCATCTCCATCTATCAGGCGGCAGTAGGTTTCGATTTCTTTCTCCAGGTGCACCTTGATGTCCAGCAGCTGCTCGTACTCCAGCTTCTGGCCCTCGGTCTCGGTCCGGACCTGGTGCAGCTGCTCCTCCAGGGCCCGGATCTGAGCCTGGATCTGGGCCAGCTGCGCACAGTAGTTGCTTTCGGTCTCGGACAAGGAGCACTCCAGGGAGTGTTTCTGAGGACATAAAAGATATCAGAGCAAGGGATGAAGGCACTTTGAGGGCTATGCACACCAGTGTTTCCCAGCAAAAAGCAGTACTGCTCCTTAGGTGGAATTTCTGGGGCTCGTCACAGTGAAATGGGAGGTGGAGAGGAGGGAAAGGGCCTGTTCACGGGTGGTGGGGGAGGGGTAGGCCTGCTAGATGACCTGGCATGAGATAAAGGACATTTTGGCCCTAAGACTTTTGACTGTCTCAGTGAACATTCCTGACATGTAGGTAATATTCCCTATGATGACCAACCATATCAAATGTATGATAGGACACTTTTTCGGGCAGCCCAATACAAAATCAATATTGGAAATCTTACATTTTGAAATTACATATTTATTGTTGGGTTGCCTATTGTTGTTCAGTCTCATTCTGCTACGGTCCTCAGAGTTCTCCCACCAGTGTTCCCAGGTCTCTGTGCTGTGTTTCTTTTTCTAACCAGTCCTCGATTTCCTACGGCCCATCAAAGGCCTTTTCTTAAGCTGAGATTGAAATGATGCCTTTACAGGGGTGGGATTTCAAGACAAGAGGTATATTTAATAACACAGCCCAGGTCATTATTGCAACACTACTCTTATGAGTATTATGCCTCCTCATTTCTACTTCCATAGCCTGTAATTTGTCTTGTCATGTGATCCCTACTTCAATTAAAGTCATTTTCCTCTTCCTCTTATCGTATATAAATACACCTGGGTGCTTATTATTTCTTCTGACATTAGTTATTATCCAAGTGTCCACCCCCCCCTTCCACTCTTTTATTCTCCTTTTCATCTCGTATGGAGCAATTTATTTCTTCTTCTTCTTCTTCTTCTTTTTTTTAGCAATTTATGACTGTTTAAAATAAAACTTACTAATCAAAGAAATGTATAAGCCTCTGTCTCTTTCATCACGTATTCTAGGGTGTTGGGCCCAAGTATTTACATGTTAAATTCATTTTATTTTAAAATATATTTATTTCTCCTCCTTATCGCAGTTACAGCACTGTACTGGTTTAAAGTAATTTTCGTGTATATTGCTAAATGTATTACCCATGGACTTGATTCTAAGGCTGTAAAGAGGGAGTTACAAAGTGTGTGTCATAACCGGCAGACGTTGGGTCTAGCAGGCTGATGGGCGCATTACGTGGGTGGTGCTGGGCTCTCCGGAGGCGAGAATGTGGACAGTGACCCGGATGGTAATGAGGAGGGGGAGGCAAGAAGTGGCAAGGTGTCGGTGGGGTGTGTGCTTGGCTGTCCAAAACTTTAATTTCCTTGATGATGTGTCCTCATAGGGTATAGCCTTTCAAGGTTGTTAATACTCTAAAATAAGAGGGCAAAGCATCTCTGTCCCACAGCTTTCTGCTGCAAAGGTGGGCCTGAAGATGAGGAAGGAGGACAGGATGAACTTGGAAGTCGGTGTACTGTAGAAAGTGTATGAGACCTTTATCCGTTTAGACAGCTGCCACCTTACCCATGATTGGTGTGCAAAAATACAGGAGACTATGCTTGGGATCCATCTATGACAAAAGGATCTCAGGTATGGAAGTTCGGCTCTGTGCCACCATTATTCTAGAATTCATGTATGTTGTATGTTAAAAGGGGTTTTTATTGTGGATTCTCTCATGGGCCCAAACTGCAGTACTGGACTGGCTACATAGACCCTAACTACTTTCTAAATCCTTGTTTCTATGTGAAAATGCTTAAATTCTGATCTGGGAACTCAGGAATTCCTTTCCTTAAACACGGCTCAGACATGAGGTGGGGGGGATTGGTACACAGGGCACAGCCCGGGAAGAGGCCCTCAGGGTTCGAGTTGTCGGAGAGAGGGGAATGGGCAAGAGAGGGGGGTTCTGGGGGCTCAGAGTGGCCCGGAGGGTCCTGGGTAGCAGCCCTCAGTGGTGACCAGGGTGAAAAGAGGGGCATGCTGGTGAAGATGGGGTTATTCAGTGGTAAAATAAGTCTCCAGTCTAAATACTACAAGCACTGCACCTTTTCAAGGCAGCTAAATCAAAATCATCTCATTGTCTTGGGTCTTTCTTTCTTAGCTTACTGTCCTCATTTGTATAATGATGGCACTTTTCTTTGTGTTACAGCCTGGGATGGTGACAGGGGACCCCTGGGCCGTATGTGTGCCATAATCCTCAAAATCAAGGCTTTTGGGTCCCGCCGGCCGACACTCTAGAAAGGAGGCTGGTTTTAGTGCTGGGTTGTCTCCGGGGTAACCTCTAAAGAACCGGCCTGGTTCTGCGGGGTGTGCGTGGAAGCGACCTCTGTCCTGGATCCTGTGGTGATGCAAAGCCTACCGGTGTCCATGCAGAATCCGAGAGGCACCCTCTCTTCCTCTGCCTGATGAAAAGCTCACTGCGGCTTTTAATAGGCTTTCGTCAATACTAGGAGCTGCGGATGTCGCTAGCTCTGCCCTGCGAGCTCGCCCGGTGGAAGCCTGCCCCTCAGTTGTCGGGTGGAGCAAAACAGCCCACCGCCCGTGGTCCAGGGCTGAGCTGAACGACCTGAGGCAGGAACTCTTTCACGAAAGGGGCACTGAGCACCCTCCCGGGAAGAAGCCCCCCCGTGGCCTCAGGCAAGAAGAAAGCCCTCTCTGTCTCTCTTTCTGAGTGTCTCGGGGTCTGCCCTTCCTGCTCTTTCCGAGACGTCTTTGTAGGTAAAGCTATGAACAGGGAGAGCGGAAGGGTTTCAGTGAGGCTCCTTCGAATCCCCAAATGCAGGCTGACTCGCGCCGTCACCTACCATCGCCAGGAGGGACTGCAGCTCTATCTCCACCGTCTGCAGGCTGCGTTTCATTTCGGTCAGCTCGGTCCTGGCCGAGGTGGCTGCGCCCGCGTCGTCGGAGATCTGTTGCTGCAGCGTAGCGCTCTGCAGGGCCGGGCGGGTGCAAAGGGGTTAACCAAGTGCGCACGCTCCGGTGGGGTGGGCGTGAGCAGGGCTGCTTGGGGGGGCCCTCACCTTCTCGTTGAACCAGGCCTCCGCGTCCCGGCGGTTCTGCTCGGCGAGGGCTTCGTACTCAGCCCGCATGTTGTTCAGCAGGACCGTGAGGTCCACCCCGGGCGCCGCGTTCATCTCCACGTTCACGTGGCCCCCCGCGGCGCACTGCAGAGCCTTCATCTCCTGCGGGGAAAGGTGGGCCTGGCTTCAGGGGCCGTTTAGGGTCACCTGCAGTCTGCAGCTCGAGAACACTTGCGCTACGTGTTGCTTTGTGTCTCAAACGTTGTGGTTTAAATTCCAGCGGACAATGAAAGGCATGAGATCTTTAAAATGGACTTATCCTATCCATAGTCAGGCCGACCATCTATGGAATTCACAATATGCTCATTAAAACAATCGCAACCAGCAACACAACAAAGGGTCCGCATCTCCAGAGACGTGTTATATTCTTTTAAATGAGAAGGGGATACAAAGTCCAGAGAGGTATTAGGCACATAACTATTAATTAAATGTCAGGGAGTTTCTTCATAGATGTGATAAAGCACTGGAAAAAAAAACTAAAACAAAAAAACAAAAAACACCCTAAAAAAATCCCTGTCTCATGAAACTCTCATACAAGGGACAAGAGCTATCATTCATTAGTGTTTGTGAATGCCAGGCACTATTTTAAGCAGTTTACATGCCTGGACCCAGTCAGGTGTTTAAACCTCTTTATGTCATATGTGCTAATATCAGACGATCACCCAAGATTCTTAGTACTGAAAGGGCTGGGATTTGAACACTCCGCGATCTGAACAGGGTGCGTCCTCTGGCTCCAGTGTCTGCTCTGAGCCCCTGCACTCTGTGGCTTCCCTGTCCTGGGGCGCATCCTAGCCAGAATCATTAAACGGTCTGACCCACTCGAAGAACAGACTTCTGGACACATCAGCCTATCGGTGACCTGGACTTGGTTCCTTAAGGAGCTGACCTTTCTCATTAGTCACAGTGTTTGACGGATGGCCATCTCTGCTTTCTTAAGCCATCTTGGTACAACTGAGACTGGTGGCTTTCCAGGGTCCAACAGGGACAGAAAGTTTGCGTTGCCTGAGGTCACCGCTGATGACCGTAAGTTCTTTTCATGTTTGGGGGGTTTTGTGCAGGATTGCCGTGAAGAAACATTTTCATTGCTATCAAAGTTTTGAACATTGAAGTGCTTGGAGTTATTGTAGGGACCCTGGTCACTGGTGAGGTGGTAAATGGGACATTCTCAGGGGATGTGGAGATGTGAATGGCTCTGTGTTCCCACCCTCAGTGCGTTCAGAGGCACCTTCTTTCGGTGTGTGTGTCTTTAAGGGGGACAGTGAGCCCCGCCATCATCCTGAACCTGTCTGAATGCCCATGCCAGGCTGCGCTGCTGTGGGCGCCCTGTCTGTGCCTGACGTCTCACGCTTGGTGCGTGGGCTTCTCACTCTCCGGCTGATGCTGTGATGGCCCGACCCTTCCACCTCCCTGCTCTGGGACACTCGCTGCCCTCCCCGGTTCTCTTCTATTTAATTTCCCATTTGAATTTTTCCTCCTTCCCCCCTCTCCCATAATTTCCTCCTTTGGGGGCAAGCAGATTTGGTGTTTGAGCCTTTTCTAACCAATGGTGGGGTACATTCTGTCCTAGGTTGTCTGAAAATTTCTCATCTGTGGTTTTGGAGACTTTTGTAATTACTTTTGGGTTAGTAATTTTTTTGGAGGGTTTGAAGTTGCCTGGTGTTATGCATCAAATAAGGGAGCTATTATTGGTTCAATAGTCAAGTAAATCCAGGCTCACTAGGGAGAGAAAACATTGACAGATCACATGATTAACATTTATTACATTGGGGGACGAAGTTCGGAAGGCAGAGTGGCAGCAATGAAATTCTTTCTTTCTATGTCTTGGCATTGTTTGAATTATTCCAATGAGCATGCATCACTAGTCTAACTTCACTGTCTCCCCTAAAGTATTTAAAATGTGCAGGATTGTGATGTGACTGGAAGTCAGGCTTCTCCTACCTGTTCATGGTTCTTCTTGAGATATGTCATCTCTTCACTCAGGGACTCGTACTGCAGCTCCTGGTCGGTCCTGCAGAGCGTCAGCTCGTCCAGCACACGCCGCAGTCCGTTGATGTCGGCCTCCGCGTTCTGGTGAAGCGCCAGCTCGTTCTCGTACCTTGAGAGGCATTACGTGAACATCAGCACAAGTGAGACCGCTTCCAGAGACAGAGCGACCAAGCCTCCGTTGCTTTCCATCGAAAGTTAGAAATTGAATGAAGACTCTTGCCCTGGCTGGCATAGCTCAGTGGATTGAGCGCAGGCTGCGAACCAAAGCATCGCAGGTTCGATTCCCAGTCAGGGCACATGTCTGGGTTGCAGGCCACGGCTCTCAGCAACTGCACATTGATGTTTCTCTCTCTCTTTCTCCCTCCCTTCTCTCTCTAAAAATGAATAAATAAAATCTTTAAAAAAAGATTAGCAAATGACTCTTCAGAAAAAAAAAAGACTCTGAATATTGTAAAAGTACACAGAGAAGGCCGTTCTTCCCTCCTCTCACCCAGTTCTGTGGAGGATAAATCTGCAGCTATTCAACCACACAGATTCCAATGGCGTGTCCCAAGGACATAAAATGTACCATTTTAGAATTTCATCTCAGTTAATATTTTTACTTAGTCAACAAATGTTTGTGAACATCGTTCTCGGCACTATTCTAGATAGGCATAGAAATGCAGTGCTATTTTTGTCCCAACAATGTAATAACTATGTAAATTATGAGTATACCTGATGGAAGTATTATAACATGCTTTATATCATATTACAGTTTTATAACATGCATTGCTTCTTTTAATCTCTTAGGTTGTATTTTTTTTAAGATTTTATTTCTTTTTATTTTTAGAGAGGAAGGGAGGGAGATAGACAGAGAGAGAGAGAGAAACATCAACGTGCGGTTGCTGGGGGCTATGGCCTGCAACCCAGGCATGTACCCTGGCTGGGAATCGAACCTGGGACACTTTGGTTCCCAGTCCGTGCTCAATCCACTGAGCTACGCCAGCCAGGGCTTTAGGTTGTATTTTATATTTTAAAATTTACTGATTTTTAGAGAGATAAGTAGGGGAGAGAAAGGGAGGGAGAGAGAGGGATTTGTTGTTCCACTTATTTATGTATTCATTGGTTGATTCTTTTACTCTTGTGGGTGCCCTGGCCGGGGATCGAACCTGCAACCTTGGCATATTGGGACAATGCCCTAACTCACTGAGCTACCTGGACAGGGTTAATCTCTTAGGTTGTACTTTATTCTATTTGGGAAGAAACTGAAATTCAAATTTTTATTTAACAAAGTAAGTAGATAAGAAACTTCTTCTAGAGTGTAATTATTTTCTATCACTTACTTTAACCGGAAGTCATCAGCGGCCAGCCTGGCATTATCAATCTGCAGAATGACATTAGCATTAGCAGCTGTGGAAGAGATAACCTAGAAGAAACCAGACGGAAGAATACAACAAATGCATCACCTTTATAATGTATTATTTTAAGAGATAAGAAATGTTAGACAGTTAAGTTTTTGCATAAAAATCTGACTTTTGGCCCTGGCTGGCATAGCTCAGTGGATTGAGTGCGGGCTGCGAACCAAAGTGTCACAGGTTCGATTCCCAGTCAGGGTACATGCCTGGGTTGCAGGCCATGGCCCCCAGCAACCGCACATTAATGTTTCTCTCTCTCTCCCTCCCTTCCCTCTCTAAATAAATAAATAAATAAATAAATAAAATCTTTAAAAAAAATCTAAGTTTCATAAGTAACAACCAATATGATTAAAATTTACTTTAAAACTACAGGTATGGTTTATTTTCTCTCATAGACTCATATAACTTTAGAACATAATACTTTCTTATCAATGAATATACTTCAAAATGAACAGTGATGGAATTACTAACATTTTGCTACACTGAAATTCATGAATCAAAGTGCCTATATTTGACTAACAGGAAGAATGATTAGCAAAATAAATAGTAAATAAATACAATACAAATGACAGGTAGCAGTTACGAGGCACTTCCTGTTGTCGTTCTATGTCTTTGGTGAGGTAATTCTTGGTTTCAAATACTTTGCATAGTTTCAGATTTGTGATTTCTCACCTGATTCTTAAGATCTTCGATCATCAGGTGGTATCTGCTATAGTCATGGTCAAGTCCACGGCAAGATCCAGGGCCGTACTTTTCATACCAACCCTTGATTTTTCTCTCCAGTTCAGCATTGGCCTCCTCCAGGGCACGCACGTTATCCAGGTAGGAGGCCAGGCGGTCATTGAGGTTCTGCATGGTCACCTTCTCATTGCCCGAGAGGAGGCCCCCTTCGCTTCCAGCAAAGCCGGCACCGGCAGCATTTCCAAAGGCGCCACCAGCATGGCTTCCACCGGGAACACTGCCCAAGCCCCCTCCCAAGGCACAGGAAAATCCACTTCCAGCGACAGGGCTGCCGCAGGCGCTGCCGCCTGCCACGCCTGCACCCGCGCTGGATGGCCTGACAGATCCACTTCCAGACCGCAAGCAGACGAGCCTGGACCCACTGGAAAACCGGAGAGACATGGTGGTGTGAGAAACGTCCACCCTGTCTGCGATGCTTGCGACTTCAACGAAGAACAGAGTATTGTACACTGATGGTTTCTTTGGGCTTTTATACTCAACGATCGGGATGTTTCTGTTTGAGCTGTGCGTGCCAAAAGGAAAATGGCATCATTCAGATTAGCATAAAATTATGTATAATTGGATGATTTAAAAAGATTAATGTCTACCGTCCCTGGCTATTGCTTTGGGGTGTTCGTTATCTTAAATATAATAGGGTTCATTCTATATTAAGTTCATTACTTTAATTTTAACTTCTAATTTTGAGTGAGTAATCCTTCACTTTCATCTAGACCCTAGGACTATCCCATCATTGTCTGGCACAGGATATGATAAAGTTTTCAAAGTTGAGTGAGTCTGTAATAGGGTACTATCAGCTGCAGCAGAGTCTTAATGACCACAAAGGTATATGAAGAACCATTACCAAGAGAAACATGTATTTCATCCCATTAGAATAAAAAACCATGATATTTAAAAAAATACGATCCTGGTAACCTCTTTCGTCTTACCAGGATGATAAAATCTGCTAATTACCATGAACAATAATGTGAATATTGACTGATTCGTTTATTAAACACGTACAGCCACTGTGTCTGGTGTTCAATGCTAAGTGCAAAAATAAAGACGTGATGCTAACTAAGTGCAGAGATGAAAAAGATACGGTTGCAATTTTTAAGGAATGTGTGGGTAGGACCGGACTGGGGCTCGGAGGCCGTGTGTTAGGTACGTGGATGTGGAGTGGGGGGCGGAGATGAGGGAAACGGGAGGGGGTAGGGAGAGGCGGAGGAGGGGGCAGTGAAGGATGAATGGAGGGAGAAGAGGGAGAGGAGACAGGGGAGGGACGGGAGGTAGGAGGAGATGTGGGGGTGGGGAGAGAGACGGGAATGGAAACAGCGGATGAATGGTCAGTTTCCCACAGAAAAGTTGCTAGGCCACTTCGGGAGAAAAGTACATGAAACAGTTCATGATATTAAAAAATATCTTTTAGATTGAGCCCAGAGAGGCTTGCAGAAAGGGCCCAGATCGTTGTGAAAATGTGGATTAAAAATGTTTCCACCAGATCAGTTTGTTGAGGCACCAAAGGAGATCACGCTTAGCGGAATGTCTAGCGAATGAAAACACTGTCCCCGAAGGGCCGACATCATTGTTATTGCTGTTGTTATTGTGTTACAAACGGGTGTGTGTGTGTAGGGGGCCCTGGGGAGGTCAAGCTGAGAAGGAAGGCGAGGTGAGCAAGAAGTGACCTGAGAAATTTCCTCTTGAAGCAGAGGTTGGGGGCGGGGGGAAGCAGGGGCCGGGCAGGAGGGACTGCTTTCAGGCTTGGGGGTGGCGTCAGGTGTAAAGTCATTTTGTCGCCAGCACTGTCTGGGCGTCTCCTGGAACTGTGCTGGCACCAGCAGCCTGAAGACTGGTCAGCTGCTACTTGTCACCAGCAGTCACGTGGCCTTTACATGCTGCTTCTGGGCACAGTTGTACGACCTTTCTTCGCTGCAAAGAGCCTTAGATAGTGCCTAGTCTCACCCCTTTATTTGGCAGGTGAGGCAGCTGGGACCCAGAAACCTTAAACCAGTTGCTCAGAGTCACCGGGCACATGCAGGTAAAGACGTGGCGTGACGTGTGAAGACGCCACGAGATCCTGTCACCACGAGCGCAGTTTAGATACACTCTAAATGAGCCACGCTGATACACATGCCCACTTTCAGTGTTGTCGTCAACAGTATTTAACGTGTCACGTAAAGTGTAGAATCATTCTTTTAATGTTACTGAGTTATTGAATCAAAATATTGAAGAATTGGACTATTATAAAAGGAATGATAAATCTCTTCAGTACCCGATTATTAACTGTAAATAATAATAATAATAATAATAATAATAATAATAATAATAATAATAATAATACAAGTTATGGGTGTAACGTGCCTTCACCCTGCACGTGTGAAGACAATGTTTCCAAAAGAACGTTTGTGTCAAAAAAGGAGAGAAGCCTAAGTTAAGGTGAATGGTTACTCCTTTATCAGCATCACAGCCTGCAATCCCACATTAACTGCTCTTGCCCCTGTCCTTCTACTTCCACCAGGGGGCAGTGCTCACCTTCAAATGGATCGGAACTTTCGCTTAGAAGCTCGGGAATAAAGACGTTGAAATGCATGCTTATAACCACAAAATGAGCTCTTTCCCTAATTCCTGCTCTCAACATGCAATCTAGATAGTAAATGCTGGATGGGCCTTGTTTAGTTAACCTCACTGTAGCTATTTTCCCTAAGCTGACTATTACAAAGTTTCTTTTCCACCCCAAAGTATCAAGTGATCGTGAACACCCAAGTCAAGTGCAAAGCTTGAAGGCCTGTAACAGCATAAGACAGAGTCTTTGGAGAAACAAGCTTTTGCTGTTTAGTAGGATTCCACACGAGCGCCAAAAATGGGCTCTGCTGGTCCCATTGGACACTGTCCTGCTTAAATAGCAGGGCTCTGGAACAGGTGTAAAATCTGCACGGGTATGTACAGGATTTTAAAAAACATTTTATTTATTTGTTTTTAGAAGGAGGGGAAGGGAGGGAGAAAGAGAGACATTGATGTGGAGAGAAACAATCGGTTGTCTCTTGTGCCCCCCACTGGGGACCTGGCCAGAAACCCAGGCATGTGCCCTGACAGGGCATTGAACCAGTGACCTTTCCGTTCACAGCCAGCGCTCAACCCACTGAGCCACACCAGCCAGGGCGACAGGATCTTTTTTTGATTAATAACTACATGATAAATCTATGTGATAGAAATAGTGACCTGCAAAGTTAACTTTTTTTTTTTTTACTATAATACTAATGTTCTTGTTAAATCAAATTGTTTAGACTGACTGCCTTTATTAAACTGTAGTTTTGGAGTCCAGTAAAAAAACTCATTTTAAAAAGTAGTTTTTATCAGTTTTATTGAGATACAATTGACATACAGCGCTGTGTAAATATGAGGTATACAGCATAATTATTTGACATACATATGTTGCAATACAACTACCACAGTAAGTTTAGTGAACACCAACCAAGAAAGTAGTGCCTTCACAAAGTGAAGTGACTATAAAGCATTGTTTAAGGAGACACTGGAAAGTGGAGAACTTGAGTCAACAGGACCACCATCACTCAGACCTTTCAGGAAGGGAGGTTTGGCTCCCCCACCCAATCAGATAAAGAGCTCTGACCAGCTGAGATTCTGGTTTGTGAATGAATGGGCAGGAGAGACAAAGCTTCCTAACACTGATCTCTTCAGAATAAGGAGAAGGGTCATCTCAGATTAGGGACAATACCCTAAGTCCCAGGGACTTGGTTAACTTTGTTAGATAATAAGTATTTTAAAAGACAGTGTTTTTGAACAGCAGTCAGCATATACACAGCCGGTGTTGGAAGCCCAGTGGTGTGCTTCAGGACTTCACCGGGTGGCAAGGCGGGGCTTCAATAGTGAACCTCGGAAGACTGCTCCCTCCATCCCTACAAAGAGTGGCCAGCACATACATGACAGGACATCTGGGCTAACGTGGAGAATCTCTGAACTATGGTAACATTTGGTGCCAGGCAGGTCATGGAAACGACTCTAGGGAAATTTATTCACATGGGAACAGGGCTGCAGTCACCCATTTGGGGTACAGAGAGAAGGGTTTACCTAGCGGGAGTCCCCAGTAAATGGCTTGGGGACCAGGGCTCAGGTCCTTGGGAAAACTGCAGCTCAAATCAGGAAGGATGTTGAAGAATGCCACTTGTTAGACCCGGGACACATCAGGGAACATACGGTAGTCTCAGGGGCAGAGAACAACTCCAGCCCTGACCCACCCCATATAGTAGCACAGTATGAAGTAGTATGATTTGGGTTTTTACCCACTGAAGGATGTGCTGATGGGGTTGACCCTACAAGTACCAGATTTTTAGTACTGATCCCTGGGCATGGTTGCAGAGGCTAAAACCTGGAGGTGTCCCTTTGGTTAAACTGGCATCACCATGGCTTGCCAGTGCTTCTCCCGTTCATCTGATGGACACCGCGTGATTCTGATGTGATTCCACTGTGCTAGATAGAGAACACTGGGAAATCTCTCTTAAGCTGTATAGCAATTGGGCAGAGGCAACATAGTAATGGGAAGGAAACATGGGCAGGTAAATGGGAGAAGTCAGGTAATCAGAAAATATGAAATTTCCAATTCACTTTATTTTGGGGGTCTTAGTTGGGATATTTCAGAATTTCCAGGCTTGAAATGATTTGAAGACAGAGCTTTCTACATGTTGTGTGTCTTTAAGAAAGAATAAACGTGGTGACTTGTGGCCTTTTTACTCAGTAAGACTGCAGATACTGGCCCAACATGCCCACAAGATTAAAAAATGTATTCAGGCAAATCGTAACGACAATAACTCTCTTTTCGGAATGTCTGTAGAAATCCATCCTCAAATGCTATAGTTAATTAATATTTCAAGTAAAAAGATCTCATTTAAATAAAGATAATTCTGACCAAATAAGATAGTTTGCATCAGTAAGAAAGTTTATTGATTCATTAGTAAATGAGAATAGAAATTTTTCTTTTTTCTCCCCCCTTAAAGAACACTTTCTGGTAAAGTGAAAAGAAGAAATACAGAAACCACAAAACACCTTTTAGACACCTTATTTTCAAAGAGGGAGCCTATTTCCAGAGACCACTAAGAGTGGAGTGTTTTCTTGGAGACCTTGTTTTTCATGCATCTGTACAAAACGGCCTTTCCTCTTGATGTGGCTTAATAGTAGTGTTTCTTGGTTTCCGACTCGACCACAGATGAAAGGACTCTACCATCAGGTGCCACTTCTTCAAGAATTGTCTTGATCACTCTGGTTTTAGTATCTGTATGTAAATCACGAAAAAAAAAAAAGACTTTAGACTAAGCAATTTGTGGGGGTCCCCATTAATGGACATGCAAAATTTCTAAAAGAAAAATACACTAAATTTAAAAAGAAAATTTACTTTTTAACGTTGCTTACTCCCCCTCCCCCGCAATGTTTAAAATACAGCATTTTCCCTTCAGTATAACTTATTTTAAAAAATGCACGTAGGAACCCTAAAGTTTTAATCATTTAGAAAGTTAAAACTAATTCTAATTACCCCAGCTAGTTTCTGCTGACCTTGGTCCCTTAGTTGAGGACTCGCCAGTGGACCCGGAACCGGACTTCTGGCCTCCTCCGCCGGAGCTTCCGCCGCCGTAGCCGCCGCCGCCACCGCCGCCGGAGCTTCCGCCGCCGTAGCCGCCGCCGCCGCCGGAACTGCCGCCGCCGTAGCCGCCGCCGGAACCGCCGCCGCCGGAACTGCCGCCGCCGTAGCCGCCGCCGCCGCCGGAACTGCCGCCGTAGCCGCCGCCGGAACTTCCGCCGCGGCCGCCGCGGTAGCCGCCGCCGCCGCCGCCGCTACACGGGGTAAATGTTACGTTGAGTTAACTGTAACCCGCGGAGTGGGCGCGTCGCTTTCCCGCTTACTGGTTCTTTAGAAAATACAATGTCTTCAGGGGGCGGGGAAACCTCTGCCCAGTATGTATTTTAAAACTCATTCATTAAAACCATTTTATGCACACACAGCCCTAAGAATCAAGTTCGTGAGACACCGAGGCTGGTTGCGTACGCCTTTTCTCTGTGCTCTGCTTCCCCGCTTCGCTCCGCTTTCTCCCAGTCTCTGGCACTTCCCTGGGCTATGGGAGAGCCTTGCGATTCGGAATATTGAACAAAAGCAGTTCAGATAATTTTTGAACATTGTATAACTTACCCTCCCTCTCCTTCTAGCAGGCTGCGATAGGTTTGAATTTCAGTCTCCAGTCGAATCTTAATGTCCAGGAGTTGCTGGTATTCCGCGTTCTGGCATTCGGTTTCAGCTCGAATCTGCTGCAGTTGCTCCTCCAGAGAGGAGATCTGGACCTGAATCTGGGAGAGCTGCGCACAGTAGCGACCTTCTGTTTCTGCCAAGGAGGCTTCCAGGGATTGTTTCTGAAAAGAGGAAAGAGTACATGGTGGCTTAACGAGCCTTTAGTTCAACTGAGAACGGTGAATCTTATTTAGCAATTGAAGACATCATATAGAAGCATAAAGAAAAGGAATAGAATTTGTGTTTTCCATTTAATAACAAATTTCAGTTTCAGCACTTTTAGATTGATGCCAGTAATGCTTTTCTCCCATTAACAAAGAGCTCCGATTTTTATTGCTACTTTCTCTGCATTTTCTGTTGTTGCATATTCTTACTGAGCATGAAACTTTGTGTGAGAGAGTTATTAACATACCAGGGCTAGTTGGGACTGTAGTTCGATCTCCAGACCTTGAACATTGCGTCTCAGTTCGGTAATCTCATTCTTCTGGCTGGACATTTGTTCAATGTTATTATCGATTTCCGTAGTCAGTTCCTTGCTCTAGAGTATGAGGAAAAAAGGGAAAGGTGAGAAAATCTGCAATGATAACTAAATCTTCGTTGGCTTCCCCCGAAGGAAGGTGGCTTACCTTTTCATTGAACCAGGCTTCTGCGTCTTTGCGGTTTTGTTCAGCAAGTTGTTCATACTGGTTTCTCATGTTATTCAGAAGTTGGGTCAGATCAACACCTGGGGCAGCATTCATTTCCACATTCACATCGCCAGTGGACACATTTTGAAGGTCTTTCATTTCCTGTTTGAGGAACAGAGAAAATCAATGACTGCTCTGGGGCCAAAATGAGCAGTCTGTTGGCTGGGGAAAGTCTGTATTAACGTTTTTGCATTACCTCGTCATGATTCTTCTTCAGGTAGGCCAGCTCCTCAGTCAGGCTCTCGATCTGCATCTCCAGGTCGGCCTTGGTCAGGGTCAGCTCGTCCAGCACCCTGCGCAGGCCGTTGATGTCGGCGTCCACGCTCTGGCGGAGAGCCACCTCGTTCTCGTACCTGAAACAAGCACAGCACAGTTACTGTCTATAACCTAGAAGGGAGGTGCGCCAGATGAAGGCAGAGACTATTTAAAAAGCAAATATAAGTAGACTTTATATCATGGCAACATTTATTGCATATTAATTCACAAAGGGATATTAGTGGTTTAATGCACAGAAACTTAGCAGTTACTTTAAAATGCATTTTCTTCTTTTAATATTGCCCAGAAAGGTATATTGAAATAGAAAATTTCTCTCGACAGCTCCAGTGCTATTTAATTTTAAATGGATTGAGAAAAAAGTAATTGCTATTGTGGACATCCAAAGTCATTGTTAAAAACAACTCATGTATTTGTTGTGACAGCGTTATACCCATTTGCTTAGCTTACTTCAGCCTGAAGTCATCGGCTGCCAGCCTGGCGTTGTCGATCTGAAGCAGGACATTGGCATTGTCGGTGGTTAGATTCAGGATCTGCGGGAAGAGGTAAAGACATCAGACACAAATGTGGCTTTTACAGCGGCATAGGTGAACTGCATTTTTATGTTGTTCTCTTACACAATTTTGGAGAGAATTTTTATTTTAAATATGAAGTATTGCAGGCTTACCTGTACACTTAAATTGGGTCATTTGTTTTCTTGAAGGGTTTATACTCTTCTATTTCTATTTCATCCCATTCTGAAAACTACTTGGAATTCTATAGCTGTGTTCCTGCACGCATGGCCCCCTCTTATACTGTGTGATTTCCACGTAGGTCAGCCAAGTTTTGACTGACTCATACCTTATTTGGTTTGATGCGTTACAAATATACACTTTAAATGAATACATGCTAAGCTGGCACACAGTAGGTACAATTCACAAATCCCTAGAGGCCAGCGATATCTCATTTCATACTGGAGAGTTAATGTTTCTTGCATTGTTGGCAATGAGTGCTTTTTTTGTTATCAATCTGAAAAGTATTTTGTTCGGACTCATTTAACAATTGTTTCAGTTTTCAAATGTGTAAATGATCTCGTGTATTTTAACTATGGACTCATTATACACTAATTAAAACCAAAAAAATTTTCAATAATCCACCACCCTATAAGACACCTAACACAGGCATTAGATGGAGATTGAAGTGACCATCCCGTCACAAATACTTACCTTGGGTGAGGCTGGATTGTTTTTGGAATCAAGAAAGTAACACAGGCAAACATAGCGAATGGCTACATCATAGTTAATTTAAAATTGATCACATGGCTGAAAAGTAGGCTTCAAGTTGGACTTTCAAACGCCCCTTACCTGATTTTTAAGGTCTTCGATGGTCTGGTAGTATTTGTCGTAGTTGCGAGGCTGGCGCTGGCCCGAGTTGCTATTCTTTTCGTACCACTCCTTGATTTTGCCTTCCAGCTCGTAGTTCGATTCTTCAAGAGCCCGCACTTTGTCCAAGTAGGAGGCCAGGCGGTCGTTCAGGTTTTGCATGGTTACTTTTTCATTTCCGGAGAGAAGGCCACCGTCTCCTCCAAATCCACCACCACCACCACCACCGCCGAAGCCTCCAAAGCTGCCTCCGCCGAAGCCCCCACCGCCGAAGCCCCCACCGCCGAAGCCGCCTCCTCCAAAACCGCCGCCTCCGTAGCCCCCACCAAAGCTGCTGCTTCCATAGCTTCCACCAAAGCTACCTCCACCGAAACCACCTCCTCCGCCGCCTCCTCCTCCATAGCCGCCTGATGAACACAGAAAGCCCCCACCGGAGCTCCCACGGCTAAAAGAGCCACCACTGAACCCTCCCCCTGAGCTATAGCCTCCACCATGGGAGCTTCTGCTGCTCGAAACCCTGAGGGATCCTCCGCCGCCGCCTCCTCCTCCACCCCCTCCTCCTCCGCTGCGGGAGGAAGAGTACTGTTTGCTTGAGCTGTACCGAACAGACATGGTGATGCTGTTTAGCCCAGGGAGCGCCTGCTGCTGCCACCAGGGACAGTGGCAGGCCTTTATATACTGAGAAGGTGTGGCCCACGCGTGGTCGAGTTTGCTTACTTGCATAGTTTTCTTTTTGCCAATTTAGCATCTTTGGCTGATGATTGCATAAATTATCTTCAGTAATAACCAATCCCAATCGGTATGGTTTTAAATTTGTCTTGAGAACAAACGAGAGGCGTGCTGTGTTGAAACTGAAGATGGGTGTAGTTCAGATAAACATGCTTTTTAACCTTTTGAAGGACATTGGGCAACTGTTAAAATCCAGTTTGAGCTCAGCACTGATTTAGGTTGTATAGCATGGTTGCAAAGTTTGGAAAAAGAATTTTAACTGCAAAATTATGGTAATAGAAGGTTTTTAAAATTCGTGTTTTAAACAGTTTTAATTAATTGGAACAACAAATAGCATAAAGCCTGCCAGAATCATGCTATAATTTAAGAGATCTTGTAGAAAACTGTAAGCAACTAAAAGGAAAATAAAACACATATGCTAAACAATTTTACTAATGTTTAAAAGTTGCCATGAATAAAAAGTTAAAACCACAAAAGCACAATTTAGGAAATAGGAAATACACGTTTGTATACGTAGGGAATCTTTTATTTGGGTGAATGAAAATATATTGATATTTTACCTAGGAAATTGGAAGTCAATAATGATTTAGGAATCTTCTAATTTAATGGTGTTGCTCTTTTTAACATTAGAAAACAAAAATCATGAAATTACCATTTTTTAACTGTTAAGACCATAAGGTAGACATTCTTAGCACAAGATATGAAGAACTATTCTCCAATACTTTCCTATACTAAGTTTGATTGACTGAAAGGGAAAATTTAGGTATGTCATGATTGTGAGTAAATAATTTGCTTGCAAGAATATTAATGTAGATTAGAGAATGATACTCTCTCCAAAAATTATGAACTAGACTGTGAACACATATTTCCAAGCTAGATCCTGTTTCTCAAAAAAAAAAAAATTCTGTGGGTATAGTGTGTGTAGAATTTGGTATAACAATTTGTCTAGTGAAGTATTTAATTGGGACTTTAATACACAGTATAAAATTATTTTGTATTTATTCATAGACAATGGCATTGCTATGTATGGATATCCATTCACACACACTTTATAATTATACAGTGCTACTTGTGATGCTGTGTTTGTATAATCTCTGAAATAAGCTGCTGAGTTAGGGGTGGTGGTTCTTGTCTCCAGCCCATGGACAAGGAAGGTGAAGCTGAGAGAGGTTATGATTCCGCCTGAAGATCTGGAAAAGGTGGTTGGACTGGGATTAGAAACCTGGTCTTCTGATGCCTGGCTTTTGGCTCTTTCCTGCTCTACCTGCGTGTGTGTGTGTGTGTGTGTGTGTGTGTGTGTGTGTGTGCACGCTCGCTGTGCTCCCGTGGATGGATCTGATGGAACTGATGCCTCCATTCCTCACCACGAGCTTCTCCACATGGGAAAACAACACCGCACAGCACCGCACAGCACAACAAAACAACACAGCAAAGCGAGCTTGCAAGCACGACAGTTTCGACAGGATGGTATTTGGCACACACTCTTCTGTTTCTCACTGCTTTTACAAATTAAATTTATAGCTGCACATTCCAGCTTATGAAAGCTCTAGAGATAGTTTCTGCGGGGAAAGGGAACGTGGTTGGCAGGGGAATGAAGTGTTGATTGTCAGAGCGGAGGTTCCTACCCAACAAATTGCAGCTCCTCCGACCTGTTCGCGCACGCAAGTGGGGCAGTAGCTAGACGGAGAAACGAAACCCAGCCGTGGGAATTGATCCTTGGTGGAGATAGTCTGCAGTGAAGCGAAGCCGTGATAAGTCAGGATGGGGCGGAAACATACTCTGCTAAGTTCACAGAGGATGTTGAAGGCTTGGTATGAACGGGAGCAATTTGGAAAGAAAACATTTTAGTTTGAGTTTTTGAAAGATTTTTCCCTGTAATTATCACAAGTGTTGAGTCTTGAACTTACCAGTTATTGTTTGGTATTAGCCTTTAATTTCTTGCCCCTGGTGGGAAAATATAAACATCTCCATCTAGTTTCAGTTAGGTGACAAGTGGTGTGAGGAGACCTGTTACAATTACATTAAGTCGAAGAATATATGAAAGGAAACCATTGCGTAAAAGTGCATGGGAACAGAAACATGTATAGATTCTTCTAATAACCGACTGTAACATTTAATTTAAGCCATCTCTAATGTCATCAAAGATTACTTACTAATCTGTACCCCCTACAAATTAAATTGTCTTTATTTGCGCTGTCGTGTGTGGAAATCAGCTTCACCACGAGGGAAAGTGGAGATGCCGTGCAGGAATTCAGCTCACTGGGTGAATATTTCTGACCGTCAGTTCCAATCTTGGCACAGTTTACACTTGAGTGCCATAATCCATCGTGACTGTAATTTTATTGTTCTCAGTTTTTATTATGTCTCCATGTGAGACCCATCGATAGGTGGGTGCTGAGCAGACAGAAAAGTGGGTAAGATTCAGCTCCTGCCCTGAAGGATGGTACGAGTCGTCACGATCTAACTGAGGAGAGAAGCCACATGTCATCACCGTGGGCGCCATGACAGTGACAAATGAAGCGGGCGGGGGTGGGCTGGGGGTGGGGGAGGAGTTAACCCTTTCTGAACGTCTACTGTGTTTTAGATGGTTTATTCTCCTTTACCCCTCCCCCACATCCTCTATGACAGGTATTATTTACCTCATTTTATAGCTTTAAAAAGCTTCAGGAACCCTGGCTGGCGTAGCTCAGTGGATTGAGCATGGGCTGTGAACCAAAGTGTCGCAGGTTCGATTCCCAGTCAGGGCACATGCCTGGGTTGCAGGCCACGCCCCCCAGCAACTGCACATGGATGTTTCTCTCTCTCTCTCCCCCCTCCCTCCTTCCCTCTCTAAAAGTAAATAAAATCTTTAAAAAAATAAAAATAAATAAAAAGCTTCAGGAATTTGCCCACAGTGACCCAGCTAGTTTATGCTAGAGCCTGGTTTTTAATCAGGCCTGTGTAACTTCAAAGGCGAGGCTGTTTTCCGACACTGAACTACCGCTGTAAGACTGATGAGTGAGGAGCCTTGGAACGGGTCACCATGGGACAAAGTTCCGTGAAGCAGGTGAAATTTCAGCTGCGTCTTGTGAAGGATGGGCAGGGTTTTCCGAGCGTGCAGCGGCAGACACAGGACTGTTCTTGGAAGTGGGATCTGTGAAAACGCCAGTCACGTGGTCACCAGATGGACCTGTTTGGCTGGGGCGGATGGTCCAGCTTGATTGCTTTCTTTTTAACAGATTATAGGACGCACCTTCAACAGTTCTTGGGAATACATAGGCAACTAAGATACAATTCCTGCCCCTCAAGGAGTGTTATAATCTGTTGTTCTTGGAGAGGCAAACAAACATGCCCATGGAGCAGAGATTATAATGGGGTAATCTGGGCTTTTTGAGGTGTGGGCAAGGTGTTGAGGGGGTGCAGAGGGGCGCTCCAACCGTCTGTGGTTGTGGTGTGTGGGGGGGGGCACAATTGAAAGAATAGTGAAGTCAAGTTTGGAGGAGAAGGTGACTTTGGTTTAAGATGTGAATTTGAAGTCCTAGTGGCAGGATGTTCATGTAAAAAGAAAAACGTCGTTCAGCAGTTAGAGCCATAGCACCGTATTGTTCAGGAGAGAGGTTAGGGCAGTGGGCTTCAGGCGAGCGAGCGAGGGTCCCTAAGGGAAAGAATTTAAAAAAGAAACGAACAGGAGAGCCAAGCCCGAACTTGGGGGACAGCCTGGTCAGGAGCTGGGCAGAAGAGGTGGAGACTAATACTGAGCCGAGCACCCGGGACTTGGGGGAGGGGGGAGAAATAGGGAAGCCGAGGGAGGATGGCGGGTGGTCTCCGGAGAGCCTGGTCGAGGGGAAAGGGGGCTGAAGGAAGACCGTTGGTTTGTCAAGTGCAAACCATTGGCGTCCTTTCAAGGGCAGGGTTAGTAGAGTGCGGCGGGCAATTCGTGAGGTAGTCAGTGTCGGAATTGATGGCTTTGCTTATGGTATCTTATTTTCATGTGCTCCAGGCTGTCCCATCTCTTCTTTAACTGCTTCTGGCTTCTGGGTCATGGTTAGGACGGGTGCGGGTGTCGGTGCTGTCCCCCTGCGGTTAATTCGGCTGGGCCTCTTGAAGCACGTCACTGAGTCAGCCTTCTTACCAGCTTTGCTTGCCTTGCTGTCGGGATTTGGAGTGTCCCAATTTCGTCCTTACTTTGCTTCAAGGAAAATTCTCTTCTGAAGTTTTTAGTTGAAAATTCTACTTGCAATTTTCTTTTCTCTGATTGAGTAACTGAGGCGTAGTGAATAATTTAGGTAGTTGCAGGAAGATGAATCTGGTAATGCAGGTTATGCCTCGAGATGACAAGGTAGATAAAGCTAAATGTTTAGCATTTTCTATTGTTTATCAAACAAAGTTTGAGCACTAGACGTTTTGTACTTGAATGTTGTGTGACTTGGTGTGAATCGCTGGACGGGCCCTTCTGACCACACCACGCACGGAGCAGGAGCCAGGTGGAGAGTTGCAGAGCTGTTGGGCGGCTTTAGTATCCACCCCCTTCCAGGGGGCCGCGTAATCAGAACGACTGAGATAAGGCCCCAGCTTCTCACTGGCAGCCTTAGAAAGCGGGAGGCGCTAAAACCCGAAGGCACTCCCATATTACATAATTTCTCTAAAACTTCTGACGATGCACGGATGGGAGCCACAGAAATACAGAAGTGCATACAGAAGGCTTTTCAGTGGGGAGTAGCAGGGAGGTTAGGTGGGTGGGCTCTGGAGTCAGATGGCTTGGGCCACAGTCCAGGCCCCGCCACTTGCTGTGTGGCTTTGTGTCATCTCTGAAGTAGGAATAATGGGTTTTCCTTCTTATACTTCCATGCGTTAGTAAATATGCAGCCTTTGGAGCAGTGCCTGGCATGTACAGAATACATGTTTAACAAGTGTCTTTTGTTAATTCTTACCACTGTCTCTGTGATCTGTTTCTCAGAGACTAACCCACTGTCTGGCCCATAGTAGGCCAGCACCATATGAATGAATGAAAGGGAAAGATCGGGAGGCGGAAGATGGCTAGTGAGGAGGAGGATGGCTGGGAGGGGAGTAGGGCGGGGAACGGTATCCTGGGGATAACTTTGTGATAAACCATGCCTTCTGTTTTACTCCGACTGATGCTTGCTTCCCTCTTCCACTGTATCCTTCTGTTCATCTCCCACACCCACCAAGTCAGCAACTTGGTCACGGTTTCTTTTGTCATATCTGATGAGTTTGTTTCCTTTGTCTCGTCCCTCTGCAACTGCCCCTCCAGGCTTTACCACTTCTCACTTCTCTCGTGGGGCTGCCTCGCCAGCTTCGGAAGTGTGTATCTTGGCTCGCGTGCTGCCTTGTCACTTGAGGTCTGTTCCATTCACTGATGCCAGGTCGATGTTCCTGAGAGTTTTGTCATCACTTTGCCCACACGCTCAAGCGCACCTGCAAGGGGTTTCTCTCGTGGATACGCTCCGTCTGCTCAGTAGCCTCGCCCCGCCCCCTCTGCCCCGCCCCGTGCCCCTGCGGCGGAGCGGGGGTGCCGGGTCCTCCCCGTAAAGTGGTTCTGCGGCCTCGGGCAAGGCACGCGGCCTCTCTGGGCCTCATTTTACCGCCCTGTAAAACAGGGATAATAATACTAGTGAATAGTAAAATATGAATAGTAAAAGTAATAATTACTATCCGGTGAAAACATGTTAGCATTTTCTTTAGAAATTCTTTAATTATGAGCAAGCCTTTCTTTCACATCTTGGCTGAAACACTATGTTTTATCCCGTCTTAAGGCCTTTGTTGCTCCTGGTTCGGGGCATCCGTCTCCCACTTTGCTGCTCATTCGAATCACCCCGCCTCAGCTCCAGCTCTGGCTTCAGCGCCGTCTCCTTCGGGGGTTCCTCGCCCTGAGTCTCGTCACGGCTGTCGCGTTCCTTCCATTTCCCGTGTGCAACCGAGTGCTTTCCAAGATGCTGTATTATTATTGTGCCCAATGAGGGAGAGTAAGTTCCTTTGGAGAAGGGAGGGTGACTTACACTCTTTTAAAAATGATTATTTATTTATTTATTTTTAGAGAGAGGGGAAGGGAGGGAGGGAGAAAGA